CGTTTCATTAAGAACTTTCCAGCTAACTACACCATAGTCTCAATCACAACATTATAGGGCATTTTCACACCTTGCAAAATTCTATAAGCAATATCCATCGCAATTACAGGAATCGCTTGTGTAGAAGATTAATGCTAGTGGCTACAATTTTGCATCCTTTAACTCAATTAGGTTGGAGAAAACAAAATTAAAAGTACAACTGGATAGTTTCTCATGTATCAGAGACTGACAGACAATTGCACACGATACTAATGTATTTTAACCAAGACTAGCTTTTCATTTTCCAAATGGATGAATTACCTTGCGTCTATATTCAGCATGTTAGCTCATCTGCTCATTCCTTTATTTGGAATTGGGAAGACAGAAGAAAAGGTAACCGGAGTCAAGAAAGGCTTCATCACTATAGAATTCAAGAAATGTTTATTTCCAGAGAAGTATAGGAAGCATAGTTTTTAAAATGAATTTTCCTGTTCTGTTCCTGTTTTTCTGTTCAGTTCACCACACACAGTGGGGAGGTAAGGTCTCTCTTGACACATACAGGACCTTACCTAATGACATACTGGAGCGAAAAAAAAATAGGAATTATTATTTTTCTCTCCATTGAGCTCTAAAACATCACAGAGCAGGAGCTTGCGTGGGCTTCAAAATGTAGTTGAGTGTACAATCTTTGTTGTAAAATATTTTTGTCCTCCTCTTTGCAGAAGAGGACAAACAGCTGATGATGTCTTCATGCATGGCAGTCATTACATAGCTCTCAAAATTCTCAGAGATGCTGTTCACAGCCAGGTCAGGAACCCAGGATTCCTACCTTCTGTATAGCACAAACACAGTACAGTAAGTAGATCCAAATGCTACAATCTTATTTTATTCCAAAAAAGATTTTAACGCAACTGCATTCATCACACTACCTCAATACCCTACTCTAGTATAACAGATGTAACTGTCGATTTTCACACACTTTGTCTTCTGTATCTGGGAAGAGAGCATGGTATTTTTAGTTTCCTTATTTAAACATATACAAAGATTTTTATTCTGCTCCAGGAGAAAGTTCAAGCAAGAATTACGCTCTATGGCTGGTCTGGTAAGTGTCAAGACTTTAACAGCACTTAACGGAACTTCATTACAGCCCTGCAACACACAAGAACATAAGATGCTTGCAATAGTAACAACTTCAAGGTTAGGTGTTCTTCATGAACTAGAAGGTCCCTGTGACCAAAGAGGAGAGTTGCTGACATATCCAAAAACTCCAAACTATCTTGAGGACAGAAGGTTTAACACCTGAGATTAAGACCAAAACCCCAAACTTAATCTTCTCTCACAAGCTAAGTGAAGAGATTTTAGAAATGACACAAAAAGCCTGAAAACTAGATATGGACAAAACATTTTGGGTGCCCTCAAGGAATATATTTCTCAATCCTCGATAAAAGCGAAGTAGCACTATACATCACATGCAGCAACCAGTTAGTCCACATCAAACCTTTAACTCAAAGCAGTAACGGGCAGACGACTGTAACCAAAGCAAGAATTATTTCTTGCAGGGCCACTTGTAGAAGAGGTGCACACGCTCTTGCTCCACATTCAGTACGCTCAAACTTTAACCATCTACAGTCTCTTGTCCAAGAGAAACAAGACACTTATCAACTATGAGAATGCCAACCTGGCCCTGAGAATGAGACAAGACATCCGTTCACCACCTCTCATTCCGTAGCACTTTTTGCTTCTTCCAAGGTACAATCAGCCATAACACCACTTCTAACACAGATGGACAAAAAAAGTTACTTAAAATAGATGAAGTTCTCATTAGTTTCTGATCTACTATGATCTCCAGCAATGTGAAATGAGTGATAGTTGGATGGAATCAGAATACCTGGAAAAAAGTAGAGTTGTGCAATATGGGCTCCAAGAGGAAAAATGGCACACTTCCACAAAAGAACAACTGCGCTACTTGACCATCAGTAGTCCAGGTTGTTCATAGCTCTTCTGCTATCCAGGATTCCTTAGATGAAGCCACAAGCCTTGAATGAGCTGTCCTCATGATAGCTAACTGAATTCCTAGTAACAATTGAAAAAGAATTATGGATGTGAATACTGTCATCCTTCAGTTATTCACTCAGAGTTTTATAGGAGAGATACCTTAAAATTTCACTGAAAAACATCCCTCCAAAAACATTACTTAAAGATAGCTTTGACAGTCAAAGTCTGAAGATCTGCAAGGATCATGAAAAAAAAAAGTCTTGGAATCTGCTTTCATAATTATGGAATTGATGGCCATGTTTCAGCTCGGGAACATTTGCTATACTGCGGTAAAAATCTTTTTACAGGAGCGTTTTCAGTCACACTATTGTACAGCATTTCACAAGATGTCACCAGAAGTCATCAGTTCGGTAAGAAAAGACATATGCCACCAGAAGAGAGCATTAACTGAAATCCATCGTAAAACACTTCACTCGTCTGAGACACACTTTAAATTATATACTAACACATACACTTAAGACCTGCCTTCATCCTCTTCTATGAAGTATCTCAAAGATTTATCCCCTACCAGGCAGGCCTATACTTCTGCTTGTGAAGCTCAAACGGGTGATTATGACTATAAATATGTTTAACAGTACAAATGACGGTGTAAAGTTAAAGAGAAGCCCTGTTGTTTGTGAAGTTGCTGGTGGGAGTTAACCCTGCACCAGCTAAATTACATCCAAAATGTCCAAAATACGCGACTGTTTTAGTCACCATGGGGCTCCATGAACTATGAAGTCCTAATGCACGGCACTTTGAAGAGCTAGATGTGCTGAAACCACCCTGTATTTTAAAAATTTTAAACGAATATCCTACACCAGGAGAAGAAAAAAAAAGTGGGTGATTAAAAAAGCCTAAAATAATTTTCCTCCTTCATCTGATTTTCATTTCAGTCTGTCAGTCCCTCTCTGCTCTCTCCCCACACATGCAGGTTCAATCATCTTGCTTTTGCATCCATTCCTAGCGAGTAAATACCTACAGTGTATACAAGCCTATCCGCACTATTACAGTGAGGAGACAAAGCTGGAAGGAAAAAAAGTTTCTGAAAAATGCATTTGCACACGCGTCCCACCACAGTGCTTCCAGGGTGAAACACTTCTAAGGGTTTCAGAAGCGGTGAAGGAGGTCTCTTCACCCCCCTGCATCAGCATCTCTCTCAGATGACTGCTTCAAAACCCAATGTTAGGTCCTAAAGAGCCTGCCGACACTCTCCTGTCCTCATAAAACAGCAGAGGAAGCAATTTATTCATGCTCATCTGATGACCTTACCAGGGCCAAGGGGCCTCAGGGTTTAGCGCTGTTTTGTCCCCTCAAGCTAAGCAGCTTTTCCAAACCAAACACTAAACCACCAAGGGAGAGGATCCCAGTGCTCCCATGGAAGACAGGCTAGGAGATACTGGTGTAGCACTTTTATAGGGGAATTTTTATTCATTTTATTCAGGGAAGAGCATCAGCAATCGCTTTAAAAAATATCTCACCTGTCTAAATCCTGCTCACACGAACTGTCACTTAGGCCAAAGCAATCAGGGCAACTAACGCCCACACACATGCATGCAAGGCCAGCAGACACCTGGCCACAGGTGAGGAGCACTGCAACAGGAGCCCGTGGCCAGAGGCAGTTTGCAGCAATGTTACTACAGAGCATCCGCATGATTAAAGCTGCAGTGATGCCAAAAAAATCCCCTAAAGAGATCTCCAGAAAATATATAGAGAGAAATAAAACACTAAAACATGAGGAGACAGGCTTAATCCTCAAAAACTGTCAATGGAATATTCTGCTCCTGCCTGCTGGAAGCAATGCAATGCAACTGTCAAGAAATTCCGCAACATCAAGAGCCAGGCCATGAAAAACTCAAATTTTCTTCTTATCTTCTGTCAGAGAGGCCCAGTACATTTTTATAGGGGTTTTATAGAGGAAGATTGGACAGATTGCCCCAGTAAAGTTCTCATTTGGTGCAGCTGAGAGGCAGGTAGCTGTGCAGTGTTCCTGGCTTCAAGCAACACACAGCAGGTTCACTACCATCTCAGCTAAAACTTTGCTTTCCAGTTAGTTTTTTAAAGGCTTCCTAGAGCAAACAGACCTAAAACAAAAAGCAAATGGATGTTTACAACATGACTACAGGACTTACATATGAAAAGAATCAACAGCATAGATACACATCTTACAGTCAGCTAAAACAAATACACATACACTATCTATATTTTAATAAATGTGATCAATATGATCTCTACATTTTAATTATGCATATTAAAATTTTAAATTAACAAAGCCATATTCGGTACAAATAGTTATAAAAAATGAGATATACGGAAAGACATGGGAACCAGTAGCCCAGTTCCTATTAGCAACAGGAAAATGTTCGGCCCGCTGGTGCTATTTCTCTAGAAGTACTTGAAAGACTGCCCACAAAAGATAAGGACCTTAGTAACCTTTTGCTGAACAGTTTTCATATAATTGAAGAACAGTTCTTCCTCTGATAATTAGCTTTGAAAATGTAAAGTGTCTTTTGCTTGAATAAATAAAATTATGAGTTCAACATTCCAAGAGTAGTATATTAGCAATTACATTACAGTCCAAAAAGAAGCTGTGCTCTGAAAAATCAAGTCTTAAAATAGGCCTAAAGTATCTGTGCTTTTGTTTCATCTGACGTAACTGCAAAGCTGAATTGAGACTGTTAACTTCTCTACATCAAAATCTAGAAGAAAATTACCTAAACAAAGGGAATAAAATGTTGAATTATCTGACAATTCTTCAGCAGATGGCCTAAAATATTAATGATTCATTGTTGCTGGCATCTGGTCTGTTCTTTACTTGTTAATTAAAGACCTTAATCAAACTAGTCCTTCCCTTTAAAACATTATACAATCCCATCCACTAAAGAACTAGAAAATGCATGGCCAGTGATTCTCTCCATTGGCTCTCCATTTAGTCTTGCAAGAATTTCACTACTGTCTTGTTAAATGAAATTCCAGATTGAAAGAACTTCTCTTAATCTCTGCTCCCAGGTATTTTAACAGGATCCTGATGTTGTCTTTGGTGAATATTGGCAGCAGGGGAGGGTAGGAAACCTTGAGCCTATCCCCTCCCGTTCCCGTGCAAGCCTCCGGCCTTTTTCATCTTCCAAAGCACGTGAGAGACGGGGTGACCCAAGGCAGCTACTGCTGCTCTGCTGCGGAGACAGCGGCAGTGCCGCCTTTTCCAGAGCCGGTGGGAGCTCATTCCTCATCTGCAACGCAAAGCCCAGTCTTCCTTCAGGAAGGATGCGTCTCCTTGCGTGGCAGCGCTGGGCTGTCATCTCCTTGCCCCAGCACAGCTGAGAACAGAACATCTCATCTCCTCCGGCTTCACCAAGCTGGCCACGGAGCTGCCCAAAGCTGCTGTAGCCACCCAGAGGAAGGACCGACTGCGCCCTCCCCACCAACGTGGTGCCAGGGCCCAACCGGAGAGCGGCCGCCACAGCCAGGAGCCTGAGGTGTCACAGGCCTCAAACACACACAGGGCCCAAAGGGGCTGCATAGGAACAGATCACCGCACTGGAAAAGAACTAAGGAAAAGTGACAGACCTAAAATGGAAAATTCAGTACAGCTGTTCACTATACCAAAGATCATCCTAAGTTATATCTAAGTCATTCTGTAATTAGGAAAAATTACAGGTAACAGCTACACAGCAAAACCCTCTCTTTCTCAGTATTTTCATTCTATAACTATGTTTTCCTGGTGGAAATGCTTTGCTCAAAACACTCCCTGAACATCCTTACAGTCTGACACTGGCGCTGAGGATGCTTGACCATGAGCTCAGTGACAGCAGTTCCTCAAACGGCGCAAAACAAAGTTTGCTACTTGATGCTTCACAGCCTGTCTGTAAGGGGCCATACTGGCTCATTTGTTTGCCTATTCATAAATGAATATTCATAATGAGATTAAATAAAAGCATCTTTATGATTTGTTTACTTCACAACAACTAGAGATCCAAGCACCACTCCAAAAAACTGTGGAGCACTGCTTGGCTTTTAAATATTAAGAATATATTTCACTTCTGTAAGAGAAGCACAGCAACCTTAGACCTCTTAACTAATACTACAGAAGTGTTTCACTTCATTTAAAAGTTGCATTTATTGGCAATTTAAATAAAATATTTTTATCAGTAAGCACAAGTAGTAACTTTTTAAAGTCCTTTAAAAATAAAGGGCAAAAACTATTAAGATAATCCTTCTTGACACATTTGCATTATCTAATGTTAGATGTATTTTATCTGTGCATTTCAAGTATTATACTGCTCAGGCTTGATAATGCCCCAGACTCCTGCTTCTTTACTCTAGGTCCAGTCTAGAATGCTGCATTTAATGCACTCCTTTTCTGTCCAAAAACAAATAAAATAAAGCAATCACCACTGCTTCAAAAGCTAATTATTAATTAATTCCATTCATTATTCTCACTGCTCACTGAAAGTATCAAAACTCACAATAAAGAAAAACAGAAAAAAAACATTTTATTATCCTTAAAAAAATTGCAGATCTCCTCTGATTTCTGATGCTACAAGTGAGGATGGAGAGAATACTTTTTGCTGTGCATCCTATGGACTGAAATAGCGATGGTGTAAATTAATAGCAACTCTATAAAGATTGAATTGATACTGACATCTTGGATATTATTACTGTAAATGATAGATTAATGGATAAAGGCACAAGATCCCCAAAGTCGCCCTAGATATTTAATTACTAGGAAGCAACTTCACTTACCAATAATCATATTAATTAGTACAGCTAAAAATCCCATAGAGCAGTAAATGATTTCAAAGGAAATTTTGCCTGTAACAATGACAAGTTAAGTAATAACTTACAGTGATGCCAGCATAGAATAAATGATTTAATGAACTGTAGAAAGTTTTATTTTACTGAGATCAATATCTGATCCCTATTACACACTAAAAGCCATGACTAAAACCAATCAAAAGAACTATTGTTGGGTGTCTCAGTTACAAAGAAACTTTCTTCTAGACTGGCATTCTATCAAAATTAAATAGATAATATTCAAATAAATATATCTTTTTGGTCTCTGAAGAGCAATAGCTGCTATTGATGCTTTAAAAATTTTTAAAAAATAAATGCAGGTGGATTGGTACTTCAGGGATGATTTCAAAAATCAATGCCTTTTGCAGCAATATTTCTTTCCACATGCAACAATTTATCATTACACCTATCAGTGGGAATAATTAATTTATACTGCATGTGAAAATTAAAGAAAATGCTGGGAACCTAATATTATATATTTTTAAAATATAACTTTTTGAAGAATAACCCACTTTCTTTCAAACTTAAGTTCCATCAAATGTAGCAAACACACAAAACAGACACTAACACTTCCACCTATTTTCCACTTTAATAGACCATTTCCAGGAGTAACACGAAAGCCAGAGCCAGAGCTTTGCAGATACAGAAGGTATTTACTCCACAATAAGGGAAGAATGGAACAAATACTTCATACTGAACTGTAAAAAATGATGGCCACCTGCTAAAATTCATTATTTTCAAACAATAAATTGCTTTTTTGAATCATATTTGCCAATAAAACTGGATGAGATGCATATGACGAAGCTATTATAAACAAAGGAGAAAAAAAAGTCAACGTTTGATTATGAAATATTCCCATTCCAATTTTGCAAACTGCCTTCGCTCAGAACGAATTCCAATGATGACAAAATCCTGTTTACAGATGACACCAGTAGCGATTACAGTCACATGCCAATCAAACTTTTTTGAAAAAAGAAAGAAAAAAAAGGAAAAAAAAACAGTTGAACTGACAAATTATAACCTGAATGGTACAGTATTCCATTAAAAAACAAAATGTAGTATAAATAAAAAGGTTCTCGGCTAAGACAATTTATTGTGTTTGATGTGATCTAAAAACAGGCTGATGGTTACTACAGATCATCTGATGGACACTAGTTAATATAAAATAACTTGTGAATTTAGACCCTTGACACTTAATTTAAACAAGTACATTCATTACAAATTTCCTAATGGGTTTATGCAATAGATACTTTTACAAACTCTATTGGCTGTTTAAATCCAGATGCTTCCTAATTTTGGCATCATACCAGTGAATGCAAGTGTTCATTCACATGCATCACTGGTTTAAAATTTGAATCTCCTGTTCAAACACAGTGCAGAAATAAAATACCTCCAAACAAAAGCTAAAACCTATGTCTGCTTTTCAGATCAGTGATCAATTTATATTACTCACAGTCATGTTTTGCTGCCTGGGCAATTCTCTTAAACGGCTCAATGTTTCAGTCAAGTTTATTTTCAGAAAATTAGCTTCAATAAATTATTTGAAGAATATTTTTTAACTTCTCTAGTACTACACAGTGTAGACAAAGGAAGACATTATTCCAAAACTACATGTCGAGAACTCTTACGGAAACATGTGAATAACCAAGACATTACATAATAGAAAAGTATAAATAATTAATACAGAATTAATGGGCAAGTTCTCCAGTTTTATTGCAAAATTTGAAATTAGAACAAAGATGACTTTAAAATGAATTTCAGAAGACTTTTTCTTCAAGAATGCCACTTAATCTTTTCAAGTTTTTAAAGGGACAAAAAAAGTAGAAAAAATCTCTATATAAGATATACAGAATGATTCTACATTATTAAAAGGCAGAACAATTAATTTGGATAACTGTCTTTTTCATGACATCTTATAACTAGCAAGGAAAAAGTATAGGATCACTAAACAGGGAAGTAGAAGATTAATTTCTTGGTTAGGAATTTCTATAATTAAAAGTGGTAGCCAGAACAGATTAACTAGAAAGATGAGAAAACTAGACCATCTCTACTATATTAAGCATTAGTCTGTACATCAACACTTTGCATTCAAACAAACCTACCTCTTTACAAAACACCACCACCACCATCACCACTTTGTTTTTAATTTCAAAGGCTGCAGCTATTCTGGTTGCTGAGGTTGGAAATTGTTATTCAAAACTTTTTATATACAATATAACATTTCTGAAAGGATTCAGTTTAAGTATTAGTTCTCTCTCTCTCTCTCTCTTTTTTTTTTTTTTTCTTTAAGTATTTTTAAAGTCAGCTATCAACATTGGGAAGCTGAAATTAGCAGTAATGAAGAACCAGGATAAACAAAACCATTAAAAAAATAATGGCGAAACTGACAAACAGGGAAACAATTTTAAAAAATTACTTAGAATAATGAATAGCAGATATTACTGAATATAAGACATAGAAGGCTTTTCTCCTCTAAAAACACTTGTTTAAAAAAGGATATTGAATTTGAACTTATCAAACCTGCTGCTCATTCTAGAAGTGAAAATTAGAATCCACAATTCACAACTCTGAGCCATGTTTGAAGTTTGCCTCTTCTTTAGCTCCTCTGCTCTAACTTTATGCTAAGGAAGGAAAACGATGTTCACACAAACATGAGAGAACAGATCTTTCATGGTTTTAAGACCGAAAATATACTTGTCAATCAACATGAGGATCTGAAATACTCTGAGTCATTATGAAAACTCTGAGAAGTAACCTAACTAATCAAGACATTAGATACAGAGCAGCAGCAGACCTAATGCAACGTAGGGAAAAGGGAGCCAGTGTGACGACAAATCCACTCACTGTGGATAAGGCAACGAATACATCTTTACTATATCTTTGCATAGTGTTACTAGGCAATCCTTTGCTGTGTGCATACTACATGTAGAAAACAAAACCAGGAAGGCCTAAAGCAGCAGTCTCATCATTGCTGGAGTAGGAAAGACCAGAGTCTACACTTCAGTAAGATTTCAAAAATGAGGAGGTTCTGAGAAAAGCTACAGGGACACTCAGAAAACTGAAAAAAATGCCCAACAGAAGAGAGAAATGCAGCTCCATCTGTCTAGCTAATCAAACTGAAGGTTAAGGATTGACTTGTTCGCAGTCAATAATTACTTAAATGATGTAGAGAAATTTGATAACAGTTTTTTTTAATCTAACAAAA